GATGAATTGGTCCAGAGGCGATGAAAATGGACCAGTGGCGATGAATTGGTCCAGAGGCGATGAATATGGACCAACCCTTTGAAACACACAAATCTAGGTATAACATTAATTAACCTCAAAATATGGGATATTAATTTCTAGAAAAACTTCGAAATATCCATTCTATTTTCGTGATAAAACCACCCAAAACACAATTCCAAACCGGATATAACGGATTTTTACTTACAACCCGAATTAAGTAGCAAAAGAATACGGGACATATTTATAACCGGAACAAGACTATATATAAGCTACACTTACTACAACTATAATATATGGTAATAAGCTACTATTTACCAAAAGCAAGATCGAAATCTTCAAGTTCCTCGATAAATCTTCGAGTCAGACAACGGGTTTTTTGTTTTTATCCGTCTTCTTTCCTGAGAGAGGTTGCCACTTAAATGGTAAGCCAACGCTTAGTAAGTTAAATAGTTAGGTATTACATATCAATATCGCACATGTTTATAAACATACATAATAAACTCTTATCAATAAAAGAGTTCAAGACATCATCCAGATGCAAACCGAGACTTACAAGAAACCAAGTGAACAATTATGTACCGGATACTAAGATCATAGGATTCCATATTCAAATCACCATAATATACCATACCATTGATGCTCAATACAACAAGGAGACAGGATCAACCACCAAATATATTCAGCAACGTTAGAATACCAATAAATATCAAGAACCAAGAGATCGAAACATAACGAGGACAGTGCATCACCCCGTCCTTCACCTCCCGGGCTCATGCCAAAGTCCGAGTCAGAATCATACATTACGGGAAACCTCGCACTGCCCGCCTTCCTCTACCGGGTATGTGCCAAGGTTCCCTAATCATTGCTCTTCCTCCTCTTCGAGCAATGAGTATTCACAACCGCAGAAAGTCTCACCCATCAAACCCGGGATCTTGACTTTGCCATGAACTTCCGGCATACCACACGAAGTAGTACTCGTACTATGGTGTACAATTCAAGAAACAAAACAACGAGTCTAGATCCGCAAAGCAAACCGATGTACCGAGATAGTAATAAGGAATCGACTCAAGAGACGGAATCAAAGACAAATCAAGATCGTGTGACTCCATTCAAGACCAAAAACATTCATATGAAAATATATATGTTCAAATTAATATGTAACAATTAACTATATAACTCACCGGGCAACCGTATAATACCGAAAAGCTCCAAAATGAGCTCACAAAGAAAGTCTAAGCTACCACACTTAGATTGCTTCGAAAGCATCAAAATATGTCCTAATTACCCCCTGGAGTAAATGCACAAAATATCATAAGCAACCAATATAAGAAACCCATGATATACACATATCCTACTTGAACACTTTACCTAAATTTCTATGTACAGCTGCTTCATGCAGAACTGTTTTTCCCATTTTAGCCTCGGATTCATGCCTTCATCATAAAATACGAAATAAACTAGACTCATTTATCTAACTAAGGAAATTGGCCTCACCTCATTTGGATTTTTCTACGATTTTATACAGATTTTCAAAGTTTGCACACTTTCAATGCATTCTTAAGTCCAAATTCTCATTTTCATACAATTTTCTCAAACCATTTCGATTCCAAACTATTCCAATTTATGAATCTAAACTTAATATAACATATTTGACATAAACAACCAAAATCCAACCTTTATTTTATCATTTATATTATCTCCCAAATCATTGACTTAATCAAGTCAAAGTTCATATGATGAACTTTCATAAATCTTGATAATCTCTTGAATCTAATGATCATTTCATGTCATAAACACTAAAATTGATAAGCCGAAATTTATACATTTTTTTACGTCAAAGTACATTGAGATTAATGTCAATTAGATGCCTAAAACGTCCATTTTTATTCAAGTTGATATTTTATTATATAGGTTATTTAAGTTGGAAAAGAAAGAAAAAAAAATTGATTTATTTTGTTTTGATCTCATGTTGCAGCAGCCCAAAAAATCAGGCCCATCTCTAGCCCAAAAGAAACAGCAAAACAACAACGAGAAGGAGGAAACAGCAGCCCAAGGCTGCTGCCCAGACCAGTAGCGAGAGGGAGAGAACGAGGTGCGGGAAATCATGGGCGAGTACGAGGAAGATCGTGGGCAGAGATGGGGAGGCAATTTAAGAACCTGTCGAGAAGCAGAATCAAGAGAAAGGAGAGGCTGTCGATTGAGGCGAGAGGTGCGAGAGGCTGTGGATTGAAATTGAGAGGGAGCAGCAGTCGGTCGAGTGGGAGCAGCAGTCGGTCGAGAGGGAGAAATCGAGATGCTGTAAGTCAAGAAGGTGAGGCTGTAAATCGAAAGGGACAACAAAGGGGCTGTCGATTGAAAGCAGAAAAGGGAGAATCTCAAGCTGAAGGCATTTCCATTCTCCCTAGTTGACACAGCTAGGGAGTGGCTTTTCAACTTACCGCCGGGATCCATCACTACTTGGGCGCAAATGGCGAGAACATTCCTCGACAAGTATTTTCCCGCATTCAAAGCCGCCGGGGTTAGAAGAGAGATCTGTGGAATCCAGCAGAAGGATATGGAGTCTTTATACGAGTATTGGGAGCGCTTCAAGCGCCTTTGTGTAAGTTGTCCTCAACATGAAATTTCTGATGAATTACTAATTCAGTATTTTTATCAAGGTTTGCTACCGATGGAAAAAAAGATGATGGATGACGCGAGCGGAGGAGCTATAGTGAACAAGACGCCAACACAAGCGAGGACTTTGATAGACACCATGGCGGAAAACTCCAAGCAATTTGGAGTACGGAGTGACATTGGCCGAGGCGCTAGTGAGGTACATGTTAAATATTTAGAAACTAAAATAACTGATTTGACTAACCTTGTTAAACAGCTTGCCATGGGTAATATGCCTCAAGTCAAGGCATGTGGATTTTGCTCATCAGTAGCACACCCCACCGATGCATGCCCAACTTTACATGAAGAAGAAGAAGAGAAAGTGAACGCCATTGGGGGTGGCAACTTTCATAATTCAAGCAATCGGGCTCCCGAACCTTTCTCGAGCACATACAACCCCGGTTGGAGGCAACATCCGAATCTGAGCTATGCCCCAAGGCAAGGACAAGGTCAGCAATTTCAGCAACGAGGTTCATTCCATCAACCTCAATAGTTTCAACCTCAACAATTACAAACACCGTCGGGCTTTCAGCAACAACATCAACCGAAGGCACCATTTCAGCCGAGTGCCCAACATCAACATCAAGTGTCACCGCAAGCTCCTAGTGTCTCAGGTATGTCATTAGAGTATGTAGTTAAGTCTATGGCTGCTAACATGATGAAATTTCAATAGGAAACTCAAGCGAGTATTCAGGACCTTCAGGCTACCATTGGCCAATTAGCAAACAAGGGTAAATTGTCGTCTCAAATGAAGACGAATCCGAAGGCAAATATGAATGCCGTCATTTGAGAAACGGAAAGGAGCTTCAAGAGGTTGTAAAGAAGAAGAAAGAAAAGGTTCATGAGGAAGAAGAAGAGTTAGAGGTCAAGACATCCACTTCGGGTGCAAAGGATGTCAAAGAAGAGGAGTTAAAGAAGAAGACACCCGAAGTGATAGTTCAAGCACCGCCATTCCTGAGCCGGTTTGAGAAGACAAAGCGGGAGAGTGAAGAGAAAGAGATCCTTGACACATTTCAAAAAGTTCAGGTAAACATCCCTTTATTAGATGCAATTAAGCAAGTTCCTAGATATGCTAAGTTTTTTAAAGAGCTTTGTACGAATAAAAGGAAACTAAAGGGTAATGAAAAGATAAGCATGAGTCAAAATGTGTCTGCTGTTTTGCAAAAACAGTTACCACCTAAGTGTAAAGACCCGGGCATGTTTACCATACCATGTAAGGTAGGCAATGTCTCGATAAATCAAGCCATGTTGGACTTAGGGGCATCAATTAATGTTATGCCATATGCCATCTACTCATCTTTCAATGTAGGGCCCTAAAGCCAACTAGTGTGGTAATCCAATTAGCGGACAGGTCTATTGTCTATCCTAAAGGGGTATTAGAGGACGTGCTAGTTCAAGTGAATGAATTGGTCTTTCCGGCAGATTTTTATGTTATAGATATGGAGGAGAAAAATGCCTCCAAGGCCGGTATGCTTTTGCTAGGTTGACCATTTTTGAAGACCTCTAAGACTAAGATAGATGTCCATAGTGGTAGTTTGACCATGGAATTCGATGGCGAGATGATTAAATTTAATATATATGATGCCATGCGATATCCGAGTGATGTTTCGTCTTTATGCTTTGTTGATATTATCGAGTCYTTATCTGATACTATGTTTGATCTATCTAATGAGAATGTGTTAGAAGTAATTCTAGACAGGGATTTAACAAATGGAAGTTTGAAGAAGCTTGCCCAAGAGTACAAGCTTGTTGATGATTTTGCAGAATTGGTGTCTTGGATGGAGAAAGGGCGAGTACCAAAGCCAAGGTATGAAGTCTCTAAAATAGATTTGCCTATATCTCACACTAGACTTTTGCCTTCTGTTGAACGGGCACCCGAGCTAGAGTTGAAGACGCTACCACATCATCTGAAGTACGCCTACTTGGGAGATAAGGAGACCCTTCCGGTGATCATATCCGCCACACTATCACCGAAGGAGGAAAGAGAGCTTGTGGATGTTTTGAAGGATCACAAGAGGGCGATTGGATGGACCATCGCCAACATCAAGGGCCTTAGTCCCTCACTTGGCCAGCACAAGATCCTATTAGAGGAAGAGTACAAGCCATTTAGAGAGGCGCAAAGGAGGTTGAACCCACCGATGATGGAAGTTGTCAAGAAGGAGATACTCAAGCTTTTGGACGCCAATATGATCTACCCAATCTCTGACAGCAAGTGGGTAAGCCAGATCCAGGTAGTTCCTAAGAAAAGTGGCATTACTGTGGTAGAGAATGTCGAAGGTGAGTTAGTGCCCACCCGTGTTCAAAACGGGTGGAAAGTATGTATTGATTATCGTAAGCTTAATTCATCGACTAGGAAAGACCATTTTCCCCTTCCATTCATAGACCATATGTTAGAAAGGTTAGCCGGTCGTACTCACTATTGTTTTTTGGATGGTTATTCAGGTTTTCATCAGATACCGGTGGCGAGAAAGGACCAAGAGAAGACCACGTTCACCTGCCCCTTTGGTACATTCGCCTACCGTAGGATGCCTTTCGGTCTTTGCAATGCACCGAAGACATTCCAACGATGTATGGTGAGTATATTTTCAGAATATGTAGAAAATATTATTGAGGTTTTTATGGACGATTTCACAGTTTATGGTGATTC